GTGGCTCAAAACCAGTTAAACAGGCTTGTATGTGTGTCTGCTACAGGTCTGAATAACATTTAAACTGGTCTAAATGTTATATGTATCATGAACAGCAACATGGTCTGTGCATAGGATTAACAACAAAAGTGCTCCTGCATTCTAATTCTGGGGCAGACTCCTCTGATGCTTCAGTCAAGTCATTTAACCTTTCTGCCTTAATTGTCACATCTGTAAAATGGAGTGATAACATTTACACTTGGATGCTTATCTTGCTGGGATCATTTGACACCAGCCGACTTCCTGCCCCTTGGGCAGAGGGGCTGAACCTGATGATCTCATGAAGTCCCTTCCAGCCCTAATGTCTACAAAATCTATGAAACGAGAGAAAGCATTAGCAATAATTAATTTAGTACTATCCCTGCATTCATTCCAGGCTACACACAAAACCCTCTGAAAGATGTGGGAGGCTCAAAGGCCCCTAATTTATAGGTGCTTGCAAAATTTTTCTATTATGTTAAGGGCCCAGGATAAGCAGATAAACAGGAGGCCAATGGTGATGTGAAAGTTTCCCTCTTCCTTCTTCACCTCAAATTAGTTTGCTAAATGAGAGTTTTCTAAATTTTAAATGGGACTATAAACTCCAATCAGCCAATCCTGTCCCAAAATGCTTGGCTGACCCATATGTTACCCTGGCAGTGATTCAGGAGTTATGATCTACTTTGGACTGAATGTGATTGCTCCAGGAGTGTTTCCTGGCAGAAATGGCTTGCTGTTATTTTTCCCTTCACATAATAACAACATTTGCTAAGTGTATAAGTGCATTTCAGCATGTGCATCACAGGGTCACGTAGAAGTTCCTTTTGTATGAGGCACCTTTAAGTACAGTAAGGAGATCCGTATGATTTTACATTCAGCAAGTAACAGAAAGGAATAAAAATTGCCATATAGGTCCCTGAATTCTGGGCAAGGCTTGTCTACCAGCAATATATAATGAAATCAGCATACTATGGCTGACCACTTATTTTCTGAAGACTCCAATCTATTGTTATGAAAAAGTGGTATAATAACATTGCCTTTGTTCCTGCCGTCAGCTGCCCAGACTGGGCACAGCTTCTCCTGCCATCCCTCTCCATTCCAGATTGTTTCAGAAGCTGGCACATGCTCAGTGAATTTCTCTGAACAGCTGAGAGGATCTAAGGAGATAAGCATGTAACACTAGGCACATCTACACATACTATTAATGTGCTAGGTTTACTGTGCAGTATTTTACTAAGCAGCAGGCCTTCCCAGGAGCATGATTACAGTGCAGTACAGGGCTGCTCCTGTCCTGCTCTGCCCTCCTGCAGCAGCAAGGGTGGAACCTCCAGGCTCCTCTGGGGTGCTAGCTCAGGGGCTGGCAGGGGACACGGGACCAGTCCCGATGTGCAGGGGGCCAGGAGAGCTCTGCCGGCTGCAGCAGCAGCTGTCTCCTGGCCCTGTGCACATCAGGAGGGGTCCTGATATGTACGGGCCAGAAGACAGCTGCTATTACAGCCGGCAGAGCTCTCCCACCCTGTGCATATCCAGACACACCACTGCCAGCCAGCCCAGTGCCAAGGGGGGCTTCTCTACCAAGCAACTAGCTGGCGCGGAGCTATCCCACTGGTGGGGCAGCTGCCAGCGAGCCATCAATTAGGTGGGAAATCCTGGCCCAGCTGGGGCTGGCCGGGAGCTATCCCACCAGTTGGTCAGCTGCCAGCAAGCCCCCAATCCACACCCAGCCAAGAGCTAGCCAAGCCAGGGGCTTGAGCTGCCCACTGGTGAGACAGCTCCCATTCAGCCCCCAGCTGAGTGGGGAAGCAGAGTGCTCCACAGTCCCAGCACTGCTCAGCTTCCAGCTCCTGTGGGGAGCCAGGAGCTGTGCAACAGCAGGACAGGAGGGTGCAGAGAGCGACACCATCCTGGTGCTGATTAGCTCCCAGTTCCTAGGGGGAGCCAAGAACTGAGCAGCCCAGGACTGGGCCCCTGCTTGCGTTGCTGATGGGGAGCAAATTTGCCCCCAGTCAGCATCTACACGAGAGCTACTGCATAGTAACTACTATGCAGTTAATCTAGTACTTGTATTTATAGGTAATAGCTAACTGCACAGTAGACTAATTTACTGTGCAGTAGCTGCTGCGCACGGTTATGTGGTAACACTTTATTGCACAGTAGATTAATCTACTGTGAAATAAAGTGACTTGTGTAGACGTACCATATTTTCTTAAGATAATAAATAATACTAGTTAGAGGAGGGGACTTCATAGGACAGACCAAAGTAGCTAGTCATTTTCACAAAAGAGTAGTCTCAGGACCTTAAATGAAAAAAGAATTAGTAATGCATTTCTGAAGTGTACCATCCCCATCCCTTGCATTCATTCTTTCCTACCTCAGGATTTATGTAGATTCAAAATGTTGGCTGGAAAGCAAGAGACTTGTTGTCTTCATATATAGGATACTCTTGCCTAAGGAGGCAGACTTGGCAGGTATAGGTCTGAAACACCATTTTTATATTGCCTCCAAGCAATTGTTCTGGATAAGAAGAGAAATAGACCATATGGTCCTCTAAATTGATACTTCTTTAAATAAACGATCCTGGAATAAAAGGTTGCTAAAAGGAGGAAAGTCAGCATTGGGGTTATTTTGCATTTAAGAAGGAATGCCTACAGTTACCACTAACCAGTTGTTCTTAATAAGGATAGTGCAACATTCCCTTCCTGTTCAGGACCATTTTACCTGCATATGGGTAATCCCCTCAAAAGAGATAACACATCTCATCTAATCTTTGATTATGCATGCCTACTGGTTTAGCTATGGGGAGAGGAAGGGGAATTAAATATAAAATCCCATCCCCATCTCAGCCATTATGCCGAGCTGCGCAAAGTGGCCTTAATGCAGCTCAGAGTCGTCTGGCCCAAGAAGCAGTAGACAGGGTGAGGGAATATCATATTAACAAATAGGCAAATAACTCTTGCTTTAACCATTGTTGGGACAAATGCAACAAAAATGGTTGTGAATTCTAATATGGAAAGACCAGGGCATGCTGGAACAACTCCACTCCAGCCTACCAGGGCCATCTCCAGTATTTCATTTACAGCTTGTATGCTGAAAGACCAACTTTCACACCCAAGAGCTCAAACTTGCCATATGGTGCAAGGCCTGCTATGTGGCATGAGTCAGCTGACTGAACTTCCCCTTTAGCAGGATGCTGGAGCATTGATTTGCTATTGTTGCTATATATTTACATTACATTATTGTCCACAGGCCACATTATGCTAGATTCTATGCAACCTCATATGCAAACATTTATTTCTGAGCTGACTCAGACACCCCCCTGTTTGACAGGGAATATTCCTATAATGTTCTCCTGCCCCATTCCCTGCAGCATAGTAGGTTTTCCTTGGTGATCTACTCCATCAAATAATGACCAAACACATATCCAACAGAACTATCACCCTGGGTGGCAGCTTAAAGGGTAGTACACTTTCATTTTCTTCTAACAACATGAAAGCCAAAACACTTTCAACCAAACCAAAACATTTCTTCTGTATCAGGAGACTTCATTAGATGACTGAATTTTCCTGGCAACAAGAGGATTAGTCTGTCCCTCTCTCTCTATTTATTCCTTTCACGTTATATGGTCTATATAGTTACACACAGATTTTTTATTCTGTGCAGGTTTGCAAAAATTACTTTTCCATTGGGTTTCCTGCAGAATGGTTGTACTTCCCCTGGTTTCTCTGGTTTCAGCTGCTCAATTGTCTCTTTATGAAGCATCTGGTAACTTTAATGTAGTTACGATTTTCAGATTTGCCATCTAGCCTTTGGACACTCTTCATTATAGGCTCCAAAGTCTTGTAATCTGTCTTTAACTACTCTTGTTTGTATCATCTGCCATCTATTTGTCAGAGTAGTTTTTCCCACAAGCATTCAGTTTTGTATCAATATGAAGTATTTGCTGTGGACTTCAAAGGCTTTGGATTCCATATAGTCACTTGAGCTTTTCACACAGAGTACTTACAGTCTATTGAACTTTGGAAGCACTTTTGCAGATCTTCTTGTATTTATTTGATCTGTAATTTCTGGATGACTCTTTAGCATTAGCAATTGTTTTAACAAGGTAGGTTAGGTATAAATCACTTCTTCATTCTAATTTGAGCTGGTGAGGCACAGACAGTATGTTCTCTAGATGCGTCTAGATTCCACATGCTGTAATATAAATTACTTCCTGTTTTCTCTAGCCCTTTAACAAGCTATACAGCTTCCCCTTCCAAAAAAAATATTTCAGTATAAATATTAATATTAACAATGTATTGTTAATATTCAGCAAGGCATAAATAATGATATTCCTACTATATCTGAACAAATTTGATCCCAAATTTGATCTATGGGAAATTTGTATTTCCCATTTATCCATGTGGCTTGCTTTCTTTCCTGACTCTCAGCTTTAGTATTGTGGTAGCTGTTCATTCACTGGCAAGCTGGTAAGGTACTCGTGCCTTTTCATCTTTATTAGTGAATATCACAAGTTATGCAAATTCCAGATTTTGGACTGTATCTATTTCCCACTGAGGTCAAGATTAATCTCCCATTGAGTATAATGTCAGCAAAACAAGGCCCTTATACAGTTTTTTGGTTTCAGTTTTTGTTCTGGGTTTAAAATACTTCCGCAGACTGTACCTGATGCAGCATGATGTGTTTTCAGAACAGGGGATGGTATAATCATCAGTAGAAGATTTCATTTAATGTTGTGCCATTTTGGCTGCTCTGATTGTTACAAATTTGCACAGATGTACAAGCAGGAAGATTTGTCCAGGGCATCTCTTTATTTTCATGGAGGTAAATTACATTGCTAAATGCTGACACTTTAAGGGACCAATGGTCACTAGCGCAGGCTATCTGTGAAACCAAAATAAGCTTAAGGAAATACTAAAGTATGGTAGGTGGCAGCTACCTGAAAATATTGACTTCCTAATGGTGATTTTCCTTTCCAAAACCCAGGAGGAAGGTCTTCCTTGAGAAGTCTTGGCAAAGTTCTCTTGTTTGGAAGGATCTGGGAAAGGAACAATGTTGGCATCTGGAGCCACGGAACCAGGGTACCTGTGACATATACTTCCAGATAATACTGAGGTGTCCATAGTTCAAAGGACTGCGGAAGGGCCTGTTGAAAAGTGAAGCAGAATCTCTCTGGAACAAAAGAACCCAGTGTGGTAACTGGGAAGGCTGAGAAGCAGAAACTGAGTCAGTGGCACAGATCTGATGCTGAGCCTGTTACAGTAATCCTTGCCGTGTTGAAGATAACTTAAACTGACTCTATAGCTACATGAACAAACAAGTATGCACTTACAAGTGTTCAGGACTTTTCAACAGCTTGCCCTTGCTAAATAGCAGTTTACAATGCAACATATTTCACTGCTTATGAATATAGGGTACTTTATTAGTTATAACCCCTTGTGGCTGGGCACTCAAGGTACCTACCACATTAAGAAGTCAGGCAGCCTATAAAGCCACTGGCAGGGGCAGGCCAGGGCTGATTGGGAGCTACCAGGTGGGGCTAAACCTGATAGAGGGAGTCACTTAACTCCAGAGGAGGGCTAGGCTTACAGCAAGTATAAGTTCATCTTGAACCCTGTTGAGTAATATCTCAGCAGGATAGCTGCAGCTCCAGAAGGTAACACCTAAAGTAGGAACTAAGGAGCTGGAGGAAGTTCTTTATGGACCCAGGCGAGCCCAGAGTGAGGGGCTCAGAGCATAAGACCTATTGTGAGGCCTGGGGGGAGCCCAGATCGAGGGGCCCAGCATAGAAGACTGATTGTGGGGTCCAGGTGAAGCCCAGAGAGAGGGGCTGAGAGCCAAAGAGACCTGCTAAGGACCCTGAGAGAGTGGCCCTGTGAGTTTGTGGGCTGGTAGGCTGGAGAACTGACCCCAATAGAATCTCACAGACCTGCTAGCGGGGCCAGTGCCTAAAGAGGGGCTGAAGGCTAGCGGCAGCCACAGTGGGAGACTGCTGGAGCCAGAGAGGGGCCCAGAGCCCTCAACTGTCCCAAGGTGGGGCCAGGGCCTAGGAGAGGCCACAGTCAGGAAGGACCGCCACCAGAGAGGAAGAGGGATCGGGGGCCTGCAGCTCAGAATCAAGAGAGTCCAGCCACAGCTATCTGAAAAGTTGGAGGGCCCAGGACATAAGGTGGCAGAAGGAGCAGCCCAGAAAATCTCACTGGCTTGCTAGCAGGGCAAGGGCCCAGAGAGGGGCCAAAGGCTGAAGGCAGCCAAGGCAAGATTTCTGGAGCCAGAGAGGGGTCCAGAGTTCTCAACTGGCCTAAAGCAGAGCCAGGGCCTAGGAGAAGCCGAAGGTACAGGTGTGGCCACAGCCAGAGAAGAAGGGGTTGGAGAAACTGAGGCCCAGAAGGAGGATACCTGGGACAGGGCCATCAAATGTAGAGGAGAGTCCAAAACAGCACTGAGACCAGGGTACCTGGAGGTGGGAGAGCTAGAAGTAGCTTGGAAGAAGAAGAGATCTGAGTCCAGAATGGGGCGCATGAGAAGACCAGGGACTGAGAGAGAGAGAGAGCTGGGGCCAAGAGAGCCCAGAGGGATGACGTCAATAAGGACTCTGTACCCGTTGGCAGAGAAAGGCTAGGGGAGCACACCCCAAAATAAAAGCAAAGATGGGACCAGAGGGTCCAGAGGCCCAGGCAAGGGGCCTAGGGAGAGGGTGACACCAGAGGGGCCCTAAAGCCCAGGCAGGGGTTGAGGAAGTCCAGCAGTCCAGAGC